AGGAGAGACACATAGTCAGATCCAGGTTTTAGAAGGATCACCACCCAGACCACGTGGAAGACGGACCAAACAGCAAAGAGGAGGAAGCCACTGCAGGACTGGATGTGGCAGAGACAGTGAGGGCGGAAAAGAGGGGGAACTGTAGGGTGGGGCTTGGTGTCTGGAAGCCAGTGCTGACCTCAGTGGTCCCCTTCTTCCACTGTCAGCCAGTTCTTTTTCATCCTTTTGACCCCTCAAATTACGGAGCCCCCCTTATCCCCAGCCTTTCTTGCCTCCAGGTAGAAATGCACACCGGAGGCTGAGCCACAATTAGACCAGGAGACATTTTGTTGAGACACACATTTTATTTTTTCACTCAATCTTAGCCAAAAGGCCGAGATGCAATAATATTTGTTCAAATATAAAAAAAAGTATTGTGGGGATCTATATATCTATTCACACAGAAACATTTGTAAGATAAAACTTATCATTTTAGAAAAACTTGCCATTGCCCTGGCCGCTTTGGCTCAGCGGTTAGAGCATCGGCCTGAGGACCAGAGAGACCTGGGTTCGGTTCCCACTAAGGGCATGTACCTCGGTTGCAGTTTGTCCCCGGCCCCGGTTGGGGTCGTGCAGGTGGCAACCAGTCAATGTGTCTCTCTCATATCGATGTTTCTCTCTCTCTCTTCCTTCCTCTCTCCTTCCCACTCTATCTGAAGATAAATGCAAAATGTCCTCGGGTGAGGATAGAAATAAATAAATAAAAATTAAAAAAACTTGCCCTGGGCGGTTTGGCTCAGCAGTTGGAGCGTAGGCCTGCGGACCAGAGGGTCCTCAGTTTGGTTCCCTCCGGGGGCATGTACCAAAAAGAAAAAAAATTGCAATTTAACCATCTTAAGTAATTCAATGCCATTAGTTACATGTAAAGTTTGCAACTATCACCACTACCTATTTCTAAAACCCTTCATCACCCCAAACAGAAACTATATCCACTAAGCTGTACTCCCATGCCCCTCCCTTCCCGCTCCTGGTAACCTCTAATCCACTGTCTGTATGAACTGGCCAACTCTGGACAGTTCATATAAGTAGAGTCTACAATAATTGTCCTGTCTGGCTTCTTTCACTTTGCATCACCTTTTCAAGGCCCATCCATGTTATAGTGGGTGTCAGCCTTTTTATGGCTGAATAATATTCCATTGTATGGTTAGACCACCTTTTTTTCATCCATTCTATGGGCATTTGGAACGTTTCTATCTTTGGATTATTATGAATAATGCTGCTATATGTACATTATGTACAAGTTTTTATATAAATATATGTTTCCAGTGAAATTGCTGAGTCACAAGGTAATATGTGTTTAACTTTTTGAGAAACTATCAAACTGTCTTCCACAGTGGCCACACCATTTTACATTTCCTCCGATATATAAGGGTTCCAATTTGTCTATATCCTGACCCACACTTACTTTTATGTTTTTAGTATAGCCATCTCAGTAGGTATGAAGCGATATCTCAGCTTTTTGTTTTCTGGGGTTATGTTGTTGTTGTTTTAAGGGTACTGTAACAAACTTTATTTTGGGGGGCCAATACAGAATAACTGTTACTGAAAGTACTGACCTGGAAATACATATAACATGCGCACTTCAATAAACAGGTGAGTGTTGTTTTTTTTATCCTCACCCGAGGATATTTTTCCATTTTTTGTACAGATAGAGTGGGAGGGAGAGAGAGGAAGGGAGAGAGAGACAGAAACATCGACGTGAAAGGACACATCGAGTGGCTGCCACCCGCACCACCAACCAGGGCCGAGGACAAACTGCAACCGAAGTACATGCCCTTAGCAGGAACTGAACCTGGGTCTCTCTGGACCGCAGGCCGACGCTCTAACCGCTGAGCCAAACCAGCCAGGGCCAGGTGAGTGTTTTTGAAAGAATTTTCACAATATTACTGGGAGTGAGAAAATCATAGTAACTACACAAAAGGCCTGCCTAACCTGTTTTCCTGCTGCAAGTCTCTAATCTGTGTATTCTCTTGGGACAGCAGAATTAGCAGAATGTGAGGTTTGTACTTGGACGTGTCCATTTATCGGATGCATCCTTTTTTTAAAAAAATCCTCACCCAAGAATATTTTTCCATTTTATTTTCAGACGGGTGTGGGGAGGTGGACATTGATGTGAGACACATCGATTGGTTGCCTCCTGCACAGCCCCTACCAGGGCCAGGGATGAACCGCAACCAAGGTACGTGTCCTTGGCCGGAATTGAACTTGCGACTCTTTGGTCCCCGGCGGACACTCTAACCTCTGAGCCAAACCGGCCGGGGCATGGATGCATCTTCTTGATACTGGACAGAGACAAACTGAGCACACAGCAAGCAGAAGAGCCGCGGGTGCAACTGAAGAGGGAGGAGTCAGGGCTCCAGGGCAGCGTTCTCAGCCCTGATCCTGCAGGAAGGTCTCACCGCTGCCTGAGACCCCGAATAAAGTCCAGGCCGAGCCCTGGCCGGTTTGGCTCAGCGGTTAGGGCGTCAGCCTGCGGTCCAGAAAGACCCAGGTTCGGTTCCTGCTAGGGACACGTACCAAAAGAAAAAAAAGAAAACACTCAGCTTCTCGCCACTGCTGCCCATGGGTGACTTTGTCTCCCAATAACACAGGGGGGCAGAAGGATTCGGGAACACTGGAAGAGCTCAGTAGAGCTCAGCAGGAAAATGGAAAAGCACTAGAAGCAGAGACACCATGCAAATATGAGGCACATGAGCCAGCACAAGCTGCAGGAAGAGGCCCCTGTGAGCCACAAACTGGGTCCGAGTACTGTAAGCTCTCCCCTACCCCAGTTACTGAGCATGGGAAATGAGTCAGGGTCATGCTGTCTTCATTTTTGACTCGGAGCTAAGCTTGGCCTTTCCTCCCGCTTCAGCCTGCTTCCTGAACTCTCACTGAACAACACTGACACTCCTGGGGCCTGTCTCTTTCCTTACCCTCTGATCCCTTGACCGTCGCATCCCCTTTGCCTTTCTTCCAGCCTGGTCTGTTTTGCTTTGACCTTGACGCAGGCCTTTCCCTTCCAGTTTCATGGTGATCTGATGGATCTAGTATTTGGAGAACCCTGACCCGCCTCCCAGGAACCTCTTGTGAAGGGAGCCCTGCGGTCCCTTCCAGTTGTATCATTCCACAGCATGAAGCAAATCACAAGATTTGCTTTACTTGTTTTTTAATACTTGTTAACCCAGTTTAACAATCATGTCCCGTTTATTATGTACAATACATTGCAGTTCTTCGAGCGATGTGAGAAGTAACTGTCTGAGAAGGATGCCAGAGGGTAGCAGAGCCTCGAGGTGGAGAGCTGTGGCGCGCACAGGGCCCTCTGCCAGAGGCCTGGACCTCTGTGTCTTCAAGTTACATGATGTAATAAATACCCCCCTTCTGAAGTAGGATGGGAGTTGCAGGTGAAATCTGAGGCGGTCTGGTAGACCTAGACCTTGACCTTGCACACTGTGCTGCCACTCCTGAGCTGGGCCATCCGGCAAATAATAGTGGGATTTGAGCCTGTCTCTTGAGGGTAAACAAAAAAACAAGCAGACATAAACTTGACCTGACACTGAGGAGCAGGAAATCTGAAATCTTGAAAGGCTATTTTTATTTCCTCACCGGGGGACCTTGAGCAGGCCTGGCTGTCTCTGCACCTCTGTTTCTCAGGGCACCATCTCCTTAGGGGGACAGTGTGCTCCTCAAAGAAACTCCCTGGGGGAGAACAAAGTCTTGTAATGTTATAGCCCAGTAATTCTCCATCCCCTAGAAGAAGGAACTTGTCCTATCCTTGAAACCCAAGCTATTTTTGCAAAATTTCTTGAAGAAAAGGTATACGTCAGCCATTACCACAAGGGTATTGACCATGAATTTAACCAATCAGGAGATGCCAGATGGGGCAATGAGACATTCAAGGCTGGGGTCTAGTAAATGTTAAGAAATATAAAATAAACAACTTGTGCAGCTGCTAACTGCTGATATTCGCTTCTGTATACGTAGCTTGCTTGCTCTGCTAAACTCTTGAGTAACCCCTGCCCTATATAAGCAACCCTCCCCCTGAGCTCGGGGCTGCAGTTCTCCTCTGTATAGGTTGGCTGCAGTCCCTGCGCAGGTAATAAAGCTCCTAATATTCAAAATTACTTTGTGTCCGAGTGAGGTTGATTCTCCTGGGTTACAACAGTTACTCAAAACACACTCATTTGCCAGTTGATGAGATGGAGGGAGAGAAAGAGAGAAGTCCTATCTATCTCCCCACCAGTGCCCACAGATTTCTGGTGGAGCCTGCAGAGCCCTAGAGCTCCATCTCTGGGCAGCATCTGGCCTTGCGGGAAGGGGGGGGTGGGGCGGGCACGAGGACTTCCTGTCCCTGCACCAGGCATGTTCCCAGCTTTGACATTCTGGAAAGACCCTTTAGGCCTGCGGGGGTGGGGAACGTTGGCCCGAGGCCAAATAAGGCCCTGGAAATCAATACCAGCTAACATCACATACCTCACCAAATTAGCCTGACCAAATGTAGCAGGCTAATTTTTAAGTTGATAATTTTATGTGGCCCGAAAATGATGTTATAAATATCCAATGGCCCTTGGCAGGAAAAAGGTTCCCCACCCCTGCGTTAGGGGTAGAGACTTTCCCTTTTTGCAGTGAAGAGGAGCTCCTTTGTGGCCCCCACTCTGAGCAGTGCAAGAGGTTCACACCCTTCCTGTTTCATGGGACTGGAACTCAAGCCATGGATCTGGCTATGGCCCCCTGGGCTTCTAGCCTGGCTCTGCATAAGGCACCAGCCAGGACACGGCTACAGGGCTTCTGCCTGGCTCAGCCCCACGCCTCTGTGGGCCCTCTGTCTTCCCCCTGTCAGGGCTCGGCCATGTAGTATGATTATCCCACCTCCAGACCAAGTCCCCTTCCTGGAATGTCCTGCCCACTTTATCCACCAACTCATCCTTCCGGGCCTAAATTAAGCCCCACCCCCTCACAGCAGCCTCCCTGGTGCTCATGACTATCTCCTGACGAAGGTTCCCAGTGCCTCAGCAACAGCATTTGCACAGCCCAAGCTGCGTCACAGCTACTTAGAGATGTGTTCAACTTCCTGACTCACCCCTAAAAGCAAGTTCCAGGAATAAGCTCCGAAAGGTAGAGAAGAAACCTGGAAAAACACAGTGCTATTGCCTTGGGTGTGTGTGTGTGTGTGTGTGTGTGTGTGTGTGTGTGTGTGTTTACTTTTTGCTTCATACGTTTCATTGTTGTTTATAAAATATATCAACATTACAGGTTTAAATAGCACAACCTTTTGTTTTAAACATGTTATAAAAGACCAAAATCTTTCATAACTTTCTACATAGAGCCTCATATATTTCTTAAATTTATTCCTACTTATCTTATGGTTTGTTTTGCCATGTTAGTGGTTAAAAAATAAGGTGAATCTCATGTCCCAAAACAGGTTTTCCCCAGGTCCAGAGTCCCAAATGCCCTGGAGGGATGTTTACTAGGACAGTCACGTGAGGCACCACTTGGCCTGAGTCATTCAAGAAGAATCTGAAGGGGCCTCTGGGTCTGGAGGCGGATCTTGGCCCTGTGGTGCCAAATTGAGGCGGGTTGGGGAGGCGCCCAGGGTCTCTGCGGTGGCTAGGGAAACCCAAGGAGTTCCAGGCTGGGGAGGGGAGTCTGCAGGCAGAAAAGGGCTCTAGAAAGAGCAACCGTGGGGTCATCAGACCATGCCCCTCATATAACGAGCACAGGACAGATGCAGGGTGGAAGGTGGAGGTGTCAGGACTGACTGGAGGAAGAAGAATGTCCCAGGTTTGCGGAAAGGATGAAGGGAACATCTTGGGAGAAGCAGGGCAGAGGGGAGGGGGAACAACCCAGGCTCATGTGCCTGAGAGGTGGAGCAGGGGGAACATGGGTCTTCAGAAAGATGTCAGCGTAAGAAACATGCAAATCTGTGAAGAATTTTTGTGAGTTTATTTGAGCCAAAACTGTTGTCAATTGCCAGGAAGCAAAATCTCAAGGGATTGAGATAATGCTCCAGAGAATGGCAGTTTTGCACCTTATTTTATACATTACAATCAAAAGAAGAGACCTAAGTGCACAGCCAGTGTGGCTCAGGGGACTGAGCAAGGTCCTATGGACTGAGAGGGCCCAGTTCGATTCCCTTCCTGGTCAGGGGTCAGGGCACATTCAGGGTTGCAGGCTCCACCCCCAGTGCGGGGTGGCGGGGTGTGCAGGAAGCAGCCGGCTGACATCAATGTTTAATATCGCTCTCCTTTCTTCTCTAAAAAAATCAATAACCCCCCCCTTTTTTTTTTAAAGAGGAGACATAAGTGGGTTAAATTAGGGAGGCATGAGAAGGCAAAGCAGGGAACCCTCTGGGATCAGATAAAAAGTAAAATGATAGACACACCTTTTACATAGGTGGGTACAGGATAGTTATCAGTCAACAATTAACTCAGTAACAATGAGGAGATTTGTGATCCCCACAGAGTGGTGACTGTGCTTTGAGGGGTCCAGGAAGAGGGAAATTACTCTGACATTTCAAAGATACCTTATAGATGTAAAAAGACAATAGACAGACTCAGTTATGGTAAAGATGGACCTTTGTCAGGGAAGATGCCGGCCTAGGACATGACTAGCTGCCATAAACTGCTTTTAGTTAAAAAGTTTTCATTTCAGATCATCCTTTGTGGTTACTTTAGGTCTTTAAGTTTTCAAGGATGCCAGTGAGGCCTTACCTGAACTTGACAGGTAAGCGTGTGGCCCCTTGTCATCCACAAAGGTTATCTATACAGTACCCTCTGAGCCACCCATTTCCACACAGCTTTCAAGCCCTTGCTGTGCCTCAGCGGGGGCTGGCCTCTTGCGTGTGGTCCGTCTCCCCTCTCCCCCTACACATACAGGACAGGGCCAGCGGCACCCAACACCCTGGGCGGCCTGGCATCAAGCCCTTCACATCCCAGCCAATGGCCTCTGCACGACCTTCCTTCTCGTCCGCTCTGCGCACATTCACGGCCTCTTCGGACAGGGGGCGCTCCTGCACACTCCTGTGCCTTTGCACAAGTCTTCCGATCCCGGACCCCTCTTCCGCGCGCCCTGTTCTGTCCGTGGGGAGCTCCGGAGCCTTCCTGGGCTCCAGGCAGCCCCCTGGAGGGCCTTCCCTGGGAGCGTCTGCCAGCTCCCCTCGCTTCTCCTGCCTCCCCAAACCAGGAACCAGTGCGTGTGTGAACCCCCAGCACTGGGCCTGGCACTTTCCGCCAGAGGGCTGAGGCTGGGCCGGGTGCACAGGTCACTCGTCCCCCACAGGAACCGGTGTCAAGGGACGCTGGGCGGGGCGGGAGAGGGAACCGCGTCGGAGGAGGGGCTGGTGCCCTGGGGCTTCGCTCTGTCCCAGGCTGGGCTGGAGTGGGCCCCGGAACTGCGAACCAGGCCCACGTCCCTTCTCCTTGTGCCGCAGGGCTGCGGGCAGCGGCTGCCGACTGAGGTCACTCGGGCTGAGGTCACCGGCGACGGCGAAGCGCGGCTCCAATAACCGCACCCGCGTCCCCGCCTCGCGTGCGGGCGGTGGTGGCGGCGGGACAGCCAAGCATCTCGCAGCTGCATCAGCCAGGGCCTTCTGGTCTGGGGTTCCCGGGGTGGGGGATTGGTATACGCAGCCTCCTGTAGACCACGGCTGGGGAGGTCTGGGGTTCAAAGTAGTTAAGCAGCCCTGGCCGGTTTAGCTCAGCAGTTGGAGCGTCGGCCTGCGGTCCAGAGAGACCTGGGTTCGGTTCCCGCTAAGGGCACGCACCTCGGTTGCAGTTTGTCCCCGGCCCTGGTTGGTCGTGCGGGTGGCAGCCACTTGATATGTCCCTTCCACTTCGATGTTTCTCTCTCTCTCTCTCTCCCTCCCACTCTATCTGAACAAAAAAACAAACAAAAAAAAATGTCCTGGAGTGAGGGTAAAAACAAACAAAAAACAAAGTAGTTAAGCAGCCCAGCCAGTGTGGCTCAGTTGGTTGAGCATCCACCCATGGACCAAGAAGTCGCTGGTTCTATTCCCGGTCAGGGGGTCAGGGCACATGCCCAGGTTGTGGGCTCGATCCCCAGTGAGGGGCAGGGGAGGGGCGCCGGGTGCCGGCCAATCAATGTGTCTCTCTCATTGATATTTCTCTCTCTCTCTCTCCCTCTCCCTTCCTCTCTCTCTCTCTCCCTCCCGCTCTATCTGAACAAAAAATGAAAAAATGTCCTCAGGTGAGGATAAAATAAATAAATAAACATACAGTGAGCCTGGCTGGAGAGGCTCAGTTGGTTGAGCATCATCCTGTGCACCAAAGGGTTGCCGGTTTGATTCCCAGTCATGGCACATACCTGGGTTGCGGATTTGATCCCAGTCAGGGAGGTTATGGAGGGCAACTGATTGATGTTTCTCACTCATATCGTCTCTCTCTCTCTTCTTTCGTCTTTCTAAGCATATCCTCCAGTGAGGATAAAAAAAGAAAAATAAAAGAAAAGTCAGAAATAAACATACAATGAGAGTGAGCTAGCTAGCTAGCTAAAAATCAGGCAGAGAAAGTCCAGACAGGCTTAAAAGGTCAGGGAAAACTGGCCTGTATGGCTCAGTGGTTAGAATGCTCTCCCATGCACCAAAAGGTCTCAGGTTAGATTCCCAGTCTGGGCACATACTCAGGTTGGGGATGCATAAAGTAGGCAACCAATTGATGTTTCTTACATTGATGTTACTCTCTCTCTCTCTCCCTTCCTCTCTAGAATCAATGAAAAAAACATATCCTCAGGTGAGGATTAAAAAGAAAACAAAACAAAACAGGGAAAAGGGCATAGAATTAAAAACAAAAGTTATAGAATCTGCATAACTGTCAAAGTTGTGCCTTGTATGGCTTTGAGCTTCCTGGGTACCAAAGAAAAAGGGAACAGAATTTATTACATGATTTATCTTGTCCATAAGGAAAAGCATCCCAATTTCTCAGGAAAAGCAAACATTTTGCTGGAAGTTTATAAGAAAGAAGAAATTTCTCATATTGTCTTCGTAAAGGGATGTGGTGGCTGTCAACAGCACTTTCCTAACTAAAGGTGTTCACAGGGCATTGCGACATCAGCAGTGAGTAGGATGCCAAGAACAACTGCAACTCAGCAAGGCATTTTCTGGGGCTCTGGCTAGAGCCAGGCAAGAGGCCTAGAGACAAATAATTCCCCTTAGAGTAGTATGGCTCTCATTTTTTTTGTTTTTGTTTTTAAATCCTCACCTGAGGACACTTTTCCCTTGATTTTCAGATAGAGTGGGAGGGAGAGAGAGAAACACTGATATGAGAGAGACACACCGATTGGTTGCCTCCTGCATGACCCCAACCAGGGCCAGGAATTGAACCGCAACCAAGGTACACACCCTTGACCAGAATCGAACCCATGACTCTCTAGTCTGAGAGCCAATGCTCTAATCGCTGAGCCAAACCAGCCAGGGCCATAAAATATTCTTTTAAAAAAAAGAACCCAAATTGGATCAAGCTTCTAGATCTAATCACCTATTTACAAGACATGCAGCAGGGTCAGAAGAATATGTTACCCCACACCACAGGGATCTGATCAGCAAAACCCCAAGGGCAAACAACCCAGTCTTCAGCAAATAAATTACAGGGGAAACAAAAGTGGGGAGAGAAAAACTATAGAACATAACAGAGTCTTAAGAGACAAAGAAGGAAACATGTGCACTCTGGTTAGATCCCAATTAAACAAAAAAACTGCCCAAAAAACAAAAAAACTCAGACAAACTTGTATATTTAAAAATTAATATTAAAGTATCATTCATTTTTTAAGTGTGAAGATGCTAATGTGATTATGTTAAAATAATTTATTTACAGGTACTTTATACGATGTCTGTGATTTGCTTCAGAATAATCCAAGGCATGGGGAATGGGAAACAAAAGTGCCCAAGGCTTAGTAATAAAGGAATTTCATTAAACTGGTCTTATTACTTTTTTACTTTTTTGTTTGTTTGTTTGTTTTTATCCTCACCCGAGGATACTTTTCCATTTTTTGTACAGATAGAGTGGGAGGGAGAGAGAGGAAGGGAGAGAGAGAAACATCGACGTGAAGGGACACATCGAGTGGCTGCCACCCGCACGACCAATCAGGGCTGGGGACAAACTGCAACCAAAGTATGTGCCCTTAGCGGGAACCGAACCCGGGTCTCTCCGGACCGCGGGCCGACGCTCTAACCGCTGAGCCATACCGGCCAGGGCTACTTTTTTTTTTTTAATCCTCACCTGAGGATATGCTTACTGATTTTAGAGAGAGAGGGAAAGAGAGAAAAAAATCGATATGAGAGAGAACATCAATCCATTGCCTTCCATACATGCTGCAACCAGGGATTTAACTCACAACCTAAGTATGTTCCCTGACCGGGATCGAACTGCAACCTTTCAGTATACAGAACTATGCTCCAACCAACGGAGCCACACTAGCCAGAGCTACTTTTTTTTAAATTTGGATTTTTTCATAATAAAACATTTATTTATTTATTTTATTTTTTTAAACTTATCTTTATTGTTGAATGTATTACAGATGTTCCTCATTTTCCCCCCATTGACCTCCTCCTTCCCACTCCTGCCCCCCCCCCCCGCCTTTCCCCACACTGTTGTCTGTGTCTATTGGTTATGCATATATGCATATAAGTTCTTTGGTTTATTTCTTCCCACTCCCCAACCCCTCTTCCCTTTGAGGTTTGTCAGTCTAGCAACCAATTTGGACTTCTTAATCCCTTCACTTTTTTCACCCATCCCCCATCCCCCATCACCCTCACATCTGGCAACCAACAAAATGTTCTCTGTATCTATGAGAATGTTTCTGTTCTGCTTGTTCATTTTGTTTGTAGATTCAACTGTCAATAGATATGTATTAATTGCCATTTTGTTTGTTCATATTTTTTATCTTTTTCTTCAAGAAGACTATTCAACATTTCATATAATAATGGTTTGATGGTGATGAATTCCTTCAGCTTTTCCTTGTCTGGGAAACTCTTTTTTTTGTTCGTTTGTTTTTTTGTTTTTGTTCTTTTTATCCTCCCCCAAGGACTTTTTTTTCCCTTTTTTGTTCAGATAGAGTGGAAGGGAGAGTGAGGAAGAGAGAGAGAGAGAAACATCAACGTGAAGGGACACATCGAGTGGCTGCCACCCGCACAACCAACCAGGGCCGGGGACAAACTGCAACCAAGGTACGACGTGCCCTTAGCGGGAACCGAACCCAGGTCTCTCCGGACCGCAGGCTGACGCTCTAACCGCTGAGCCAAACTGGCCAGGGCCATTGAGCATTCTTATAAGCAGTGTTTTGAACTCAGCATCTGTTAGGTTACTTATCTCTATTTCGCTTAGATCTTTTCTATTTCACTTAGTTCTTTTCCTGGGGTTTTGTTCTGTTCTTTCATTTGGGACCTGTTTTTTTGTCTCCTCATTTTTGCTGCCTCTCTGTGTTTGTTTCTGTGTATTACTTAATGAGAGGTATGGGGCTAGCTGAGACCAGATGCTGCTTGTTTGAAAGAATTTAGGAAAACCTGAAGCAGGATCCAAGACAGGCCAATCCTGTGGTGAAGCAACTGGCAACAGCTTGGGTGGGCCTGAAAGTTGGCTGGGCGGGGCCTCAGGGAATCACCAGGGCGGGGCAACCAGTGTGAGTCAGGTTGCTGGAGTCCCAGATATGGTGGCTGTCTGCTGCCCCAGGGAAGGGCTTATCAAAGGAACAAAGGCCTCTGACAGCACGTCTGTCCAGGAGAAAGTCCCCTCTCCAGCCCTTGCTCCAGTGCCAAACAGCTCAGTTCTTCCCTGTATGTCTCTGGCGCCCCTCAAGCTGCCTCCCCTCGGAGCTTAGAGGGAGAGAGTCCGATAAGTCCGTGTGCGGGCCCTTTAAGAGGAGCTGCCTGGGTCCTTGACGGTTTGGCTCAGCGGTTAGAGCGTCGGCCTGTGGTTCAGAGAGACCTGGATTCGGGGGAGGTGGGTTAACTCTACCACATAGGGCCATTTTTCCCTAAGCTAATGTCAATGCCAGTCCATTAAAGACTCATGGTGAGTGCACCGAGCTTTACAGTTTACAATGATCATTTGCAACCTTGGTTCAGTAGGAGCCTTACTCCAGCTTTAGAAGGTAGTGAGCCTGGCCGGTGTGGCTCAGTGCTTGAATGTCGACCCATGCATCAAGAGGTTGCCAGTTCGCCCTGGCCAGTTTGGCTCAGCGGTTAGAGCTTCGGCCTGTGGTCTGGAGAGACCCGGGTTTGGTTCCCGCTAAGGGCATGTGCCTCGGTTGCAGTTTGTCCCCGGCCCTGGTTGGGTCATGCAGGTGGTGACCACTCAATGTGTCCCTTTCACGTTGATGTTTCTCTCCCTCTTCCTCTCTCTCCCTCCTGCTCAATATGAACAAAGAATGGAAAAATGTCCTCCATCCAGTGAGGATAAAAAAAAAAAAAGGTTGCCAGTTTGATTCCTGGTCAGGACACATGCCCAGTTGTGGGCTGATCCCCAGTGGGGGTATGCAGGAGGCAGCTGATTAATGTTCTCTCTCTCTCCCCCTCTCCCTTCCTTTCTCTCTAAAATCAATAAAGAAGTCCTGGCCGGTTTGGCTCAGCAGTAAGAGCATTGGCTGCGGACCAATGAGTTGTGGGTTTGATTCCGCCAAGGGCACGTACCTTGGTTGCAGTTCGCCCCCGACCCTTGTCAGGGTCATGTGGGAGGCAACCAGTCCATTTGTCTCTTTCACATTGATGTTTCTCTCTCCCTCCCTCCCTCCCACTCTATCTGAAGATAAATAGAAAAATATCCTCGGGTGAGGATTTTAAAAAAGAAAGAAAAAAAAAGATAGTCCTGGAATAAATACAGGGTGGGGCAAAAGTAGGTTTACAGTTGTGACTACACAAAACAGTTTATTTTTGTATTATTAATTATTGTATTATCTTCCATATGAACAACTGTAAAACTACTTTTGCCCTACCCTGTATTTCATTTCACAGAAGGAAATCAAGACCCCTAGGATGGATGGGTAACCAAAGCTATATGTGGAGGCTCAGAAATTCCTTGACTACTCTGGAAGATGAGAGCTGGTTCCTTCAGGAGGAGGTCAGGTTAGTGTAAATGGCCGACACCCTCTTTGCCTTTGAAAAGTCCTTTAACTATAAAGAAGTCAACTATTAACTCCAAGTAGGGCAGAAAGGAAGGCAGTTGCTATGGCAACATCTTTGGCAGCCTATCTGTCTTGCTCAGGCTCAAAACAACAGCTTCCAGCAGGTTCCTGGTGGGGGTGGGGAAGGTCTAACTGGAGCCCAGCAACTGCGATGGACCAATCTCCTGCTAGATTTCAGTGGCAAGAGGATGGTAGCAGCCAATGAAGAGGCCTGGAGCTTGTGTCATCGGCCTCAAGCCAGGTTGGAATAACCAGAAGGCAGGCACATGTGACTGTTTCCATAGTGACCTCCCTTAGTAACTCAGACTGGTCCTGTTTCTAAGTACTGGAAAATTCCACCCAGCCTTCAGCCTGATTTTGCTACCTTCTCTGCCTCCTTCCCGCTTAAGGGGCAGGGGATGAAGTCACTGCCAGTGTTTAACCCTTCCCGAGATGTGCCCGGCTCCAGTCAGATCCAGGGGCCTGGGAGTTGGGGAAGCGTGCCCTGCACTGTGCTTGGCACTGGAGGGGAGAGGAAGATAGCCTAACTCGGTAGTGACAGCCACCATTTGGAGCACCCATCATTTGAGCCAGGCACTGTACCAAGCTCCTGATAGCCTCACAGCCCTGAGAAGAGGGTACAACACAGATTATTTCTACTTCACTGAAGAATGAACTTGATTCAGAGAGGTTAGATAACTTGTTGACATCACAGAATACAGCCAGCAAGTTGAGGAACCAGGCTCGGAGGAGTGTGTGACACTCTCTCCATGATGGCTCTCTAATGCTTGCAGTGTTACAGGACCAGATGAGCTGGGGGTAGGAATGCAGAGGAGGGAGAGAGCCATGGTTTTCAGGGGAGCAGAAGGAAGGCTTCACCAGCCAAGGAGGGTGACTTTTAGGCTGAGGGGAAGAATGGGAAGGAAACACCTGCTGGCTCCAAGACACCCATGTGGAGCTGAGGGCTGGTGGGCAAGGCCAGACAGGCCCCATGGAAGGACAGGCCCCAGGGCCTAGTCCTTATCTTTCAGCCTGCAGAACTGGCCATGCTGGGATTCTGGCTGGGGGCAGGGAGGTAGGTCAGACCTACACACATTACTGCTGGACTCCTACTGGGGAAGGGCTGGCTTGCACTGCTGGTGGATCCAAGAACCAGTAACTGGAACCCAGAGTGAGGTGAGCCTCTCAGTCCCCAGCACCAGCCTGAGGCCACACAGGATCGACTTCGATGCTGCATAAGCAGTGTGCAGAGCTACTCTGAGCTGAGGTAGGGCTATAGGAAGACCCATTTTCAAGGATGTTAAGTGACAAAGACAAACAACAGTGTCATATGCCATAGCTTAAGGTCACAACAGATGAGTCACCGAGTGAAGGGTGTGATCACAGTAGAGCTGTTGAGGTCACTGGACCACAAAAGCCACAGGAGTCTGCAGGAAGGACTGACCATTCAGCAGCCTCCTGCGGGAGGAAAGGACTCTGACCTGGCCCCTAAGGGGGAGGCTCCCTCTGGCAGGAAGTATGGGTATGACCTTGGGTGAGATAGGGCAGGATGTTGTGTGAACTAAGGATCTGACAGCAAACTGGGCTAGAAAGAGGGGACACAACTGGTTGAGCTTTATGGCTCTGCTTCAGGGTGGGACAGTAAGTGATGAGAATCTGGGACAATGAGGAAGAGCGACTGTATGACTTTGGTGGTCTCTAGCCCACTGGTGTCTGTCTAGGCCAAAAGGCCTCAGCTAAAGTCTTTGCCGAAGCAGAACAGCCATGGAAATTTCCACCCAAGTTCTTTCCCAGTGCTGTTTTCAGCTCCACCCTCCTCCCACGCCCTGCCGAGTCCAAGGTTCTTCTGCTGGAGTAGGCTGCAGGCTGAAGAGGCCAGGGCTCGCCTCGGAGATTCCGAAACAGCCACAGAAGGCCGGTCTGGTGTGGACTGGCAGAACTTCAGGCACACAGGGCACTGTGCCGCCATGGAAACTGGAGTTGTCACCCTGACTGACAGGTCCCAGAGGCCCTAGGATTCCTGTTTCTGGGAAGGCAAAGGGAAGGAATGGCAGCTTCCACCATCATGTCAGTGTTCTTGAGCCAGGCCAGCTCCCTGTGGCTGTGTCTCCCCAGAGTACAAGGCAGCAGGCCTGGAACAAGCCCAGGGGCACCTGAACGAAGGGTGCACCACTTCTGCTCTGTTTTCCTGGGGGAGTATTTTGTATATTTATTTCCAACAGTTCCCAAGTGGAAGAAGTGACTTGTGTGAGAGTGGAGCTGGGAAGACACCAGAAGGTCTCTCCCCACTCCCCCACCCCACCTTTCCTTACTCTGGACTCTCAGCTCTGCTCTATCAAGTTAGGTTCTCCCACAACAGCAACAGCTGGGATGGGGGTGGCCAGACAGAGCTCTGGCCTTAGGGCAATAAGTAAGGTTACCAACCCTGGCCAGTTTGGTTCAGCAGTTAAGTGTCGCCCAAAGACCAGAGTCGCGGATTCGATTCCAGTCCAGGGCATGTACCTTGGTTGTGGTTCCGTCCCCTGCCCTGGTCAGGGTACTGCGGGAGGCAGTCAGTTGCATCTATGTTTCTCTCCCTCCCTCTCTCCCTCCCAGTCTATCTGAAGATCAATGGAAAAATATCCCTGTGTGAGGATTAAAAAAAAAAAATCCTCATTGATCTTCAGATAGAATTGGAGGGAGGAAGGAAGAGAGAAACATCAATGTGAGAGAGACACATTCATTGGTTGCCTCCCACACAATCCCAACTGGGGCCAGGGATCCAACTGCAACTGAGGTATGAGCCCCTGACTGGAATCGAACCCGCGACTCTGGTCTGCGGGCCAACACTCCAACCGCTGAGCCAAACTGGCCTGGGCCTTGGGTGAGGATTTAAAAAAAAAGTAAGGCCCAGGCCAGTTTGGCTTAGCAGTTAGGGGGGCTACCGGAGAGACCCGGGTTCAGTTCCCGCTAAAGGCATGTACCTCAGTTGCAGTTTGTTCCCTCCCTGGTTGGGGTCGTGTGGGAGGCAGCCACTCGATGTGTCTTTCTCTGATTGATGTTTCTCTCTCTCTCTTCCTCCCTCTCTCCTTCCCACTCTATCTGAAGATAAATGCAAAAGTGTCCTTGGGTGAGGATTAAAAAAAAAAAAGGTTACCAAACAGAACAAAATGACATCTCTATGGTGTCTGCATCCTTTGTCCACAGCTGGGAGGGGTTTCTCACCTCCGAGAGGTTGTCACAAACCTGCCTCTCCCACGTCTGTGCGTAACACCTGAGGCTTCTGTCCCCACTCTCAGGCTCCAGCAGTGGCACCCCTCCTCTTAAACAACCAGACTGCAAAACTTGCATTCCCACTGACCTTCAGAGGAGCAAGGGGACCTGTTAACACAGCCATCACCCAGGAAAATATAGGCTGTGCTGAGACAGATGGTAAGATAACTAAGGGGCGGTGATACCGGATGACTGGATAGCTGGTCAGAGAGGCCCTGACAGAGAAGGGATGTCTGGGCAAAGTAATGAGAATGAGTCTTATCCGAAGAATAGGGAGATATATTCCAAGCAGATGTGCCATCAAGAGTAAAGAACGTGCCCTGGCTGGTTTGGCTCAGTGGTTAGAGCGTCGGCCTGCAGTCCTGAGAGACCCGGGTTCGGTTCCCGCTAAGGGCACGTACCTCGGTTGCAGTTTGTCCCCGGCCCTGGTTGGTCATGCGGGTGGCAGCCACTCGATGTGTCCCCTTCACATCGATGTTTCTCTCTCTCTCTTTCTCTTCCTTTCTCTCCCTCCCACTCACTCTAGCTGAACAAAAAATGGGAGGATGTTCTCAGGTGAGGATAAAAAAAAAAGAGAGTAAAGAACGTGCCCTGGCCGGTTTGGCTCAGTGGTAGAGCGTCGGCCTATGGACCAATGAGTCTTGTGCTCAATTCCAGCCAAAGGCACATACCTTGGTTGCGGTTCGTCCCTGGCCATGGTCAGGGTTGTGCAGGAGGCAGCTAGTCGATGTGTCCCTCTCACATCAATGTTCTCTCGTTCCCTCCCACTCTATCTGAAGATAAATATAAAAGTTGGTTGGAAGGTTGTGGGTTATTGTTAAGCTGAAGATAAACAGAAAAATATCTTCGGGTGACGATCTAAAAAAAAAAAAAGAGTAAAGAATGAGCCTGGCCGGAGTGGCTCAGTGGTTGAGCATCGACCCATGCACCAAGAGGTCACCAGTTTGATTTCTGGTCAGGGCACATGACCAGGTTGTGGGCCAAATCCTCAGTGGGGGGCATACAAGAGGCAGTCAATCAATGTTCTCTCATCGATGTTTCTATCTCTCTCTCCCTCTACCTTCCTCTCTCTCTAAAATCAATAGAGAAAAAACAAAACAAAAAAGAGTAAAGAACATGAGTCTGGAAAGGGCCAGGGGGGCTGCAGGGACAGAGAGAATAGTGTGGGATGCCCAGAGAGCCTCAGGCAGATTTTCTATACCTGTGTTCCTTCTCTTATCCCATGGCCACCACCCACCCCAATCCAGGCCTCCATGACCTCTGGCCTGGGCTGCAGGAATGGACTCCAGTGCCCTCCCCTCTGCCACCACTCCCAGCTCAGCCACCTTGCAAAGAGCAGCCACACAATATCTCCCCAAACCAGGGCCTCTCCCAGCTCGGAAGTCATCCTTCCGCCCCAAAAACCAGAGTTCAAACTCCCTCTCCAGGTAATTCAAGCCCTCCCAGACCTTACTGTAGTCTTCCCTTTCTGCTCCCCCTGCTTTCTAGTGGTTTTCCATCGCTTAATGAGTTTTAAGGTCCACTCCACCTTAGTCACTATATGGTTCTACTATGACCTTAGCCCCAAGAAGGATCCATAATGCTATGGGCTTCTGTTTTTTCCTGGTGCATATTGAGAAATATACCCATTGGCAAACTAGTTCCTGGAACTAGATGACCTCTACCTCCGTGTTCTACAAGACTTGTTGCTGTGGGATGTGGGCCACAGTTGTATTGAGGAAGAATGAGTAAGTGTGTGGAATGTGTGAAATGTTTAATGGGCTTCATGCTGGGTATGCAATGCGTATATGATGCTAACCCAAACATCTGCCTGGGACCTCAAAGTGGGTGATTGAACAGATCACAGGTGAGTATGACTCACTGGGAAGCCTCCTGGTTCCTTCAGGCTATTTCTGAAGGTCCACTCAGCAGGCCCCAGAGGGTGAGTAACCAGAGGCCCCAGCACAGGTGAGGACCAGACACACTGCCTCCCCACAGTGAGTCATACAGCAGAATGACAGCAAGGCCTGAGCCTTCCACTCACTCCCCTCCACTCTAGAGGGTGAATGTTCAACTGGAGCTCCATGGAACCCTAAGGGGACCTTTGGGTCTTCTCCTGTCTTCCTGGATCACAATCTGTCTAGAAGTTCTTCAGAGAGGAAGCAGCTCCCCATTTCATACACAGTTCCAACTCCACGCAGTCACTCCATCCAGATGGGCAGTTGTGTTTTGTTTCTATGGAGCCACATCGAGTTGCGTCTAATCACTTCCTTCTTCCTTACTAGTAATACTTAGGCATGATACTCCAGTACTTAAAAAGTATAACAAACTGCTGAAAACCTCACATTACCACTGAACTTACTGTAACAATGTCTCTGTAGGGACATTCCAGAATGGGAAACCCGGGTCCTCCCACAACTCCTTCTGTGCTGGCTTATCGGTCACCCAGTCATGCTGCACCTCCTGAGCATACACCACAATGCTCTTTTCACTGTTCTTGGGTTTTTAATCTCAAGACACACTGTTCCAATTTATTTAGTCATCACTCAATAGACAAATATTGAACTTTTGTTGTGTTCCACGCACTAGTGATACCAAGACAGACATCCTAGGCCTCAGTTTCCTCATCCGTCTAAGGGGATAACAGCAACATCTCCCTCACAGGTGGCTGTGAGAACTGAAAGAGATCATGCACAGTGCTCTTTAAATGTTACAGAAATAAGCCCTGGCCGGTTTTGCTCAGTGGTTGGAGCATTGCCCTGCAGACCAATGAGTCGTGGGTTTGATTCCGGTCAAGGGCACGTACCTCGGTTGCAGTTCATCCCTGGCCCTGGTCAAGGTCATGCGGAAGGCAACCAGTCGATGTGTCCCTCTCATGTCGATGTTTCTCTCTCTCCTTCCCTCCAACTCTATCTAAAAAAAAAAAGTTATAGAAATGAAAGTTGTATGCTGGATATACTGTCCTGCAGACATGCCAGAGACAATGGAGGGGCCAAGGAAAGCATGGTGGACTGTTCTCTGCTGGGGAGAGGTCAGTAGAGAGTCTCTACTGAAGACTGGGACAAGAAGAGTGACCACAGGGAGGGTGGACAGCCTGGGGAAGAAAGGTCTAGAAATGCTGGATGGGGTGAAGCAGCAAGGGGCCCCTCGGAGCTCTTAGGCTGAGAGTGATGGGGCTATAGCAGCTCCTCTGGAGAGCCACGCTCTGCCCTTTGCTGTCACTCTGCTTACAGAGCTTACAGTGCTACAGCTGCGCTTCCACAGCCAGGCCTTCTGGAAAGATCCACAAAACAAGCTAAAGGGCTCAGTGCCAGAGACATTATGTGGGGAATAAACCAAAGAAGGGAACTAGTTGCCCTGGCTGGTTTAGCTCAGTGGTTAGAGCATCGGCCCACGAACCAAGGAGTCACAGGTTCGATTCCCAGTCAGGGCACATGCCCAGATTGTGGGCCCAATCCCCAGTGCAACACATGCAGGAGGTGGCTCCTTTTCCCTTCACCTCTCTCTAAAATCTGTAAAGAAAAAAAAAAGAAAAAACTTTCTCCCTGGCCGGTTTTGCTCAGTGGTTAGAGTGTAGTCCCAAGGACTGAAGGGTCTTGGGCTTGATTCCGGTCAAGGGCATGCATCTGGGTTTTAGGTTGGATCCCTGACCCTGGTCAGGGTCACGCAGGAGGCAACCAATCAGTGTGTCTCTCTCACAAAGATATTTCTCTTTCTCCCCCTTTCTCCTTCCCACTCTATCTAAAAATCAATGGAAAAATATCCTTGGGTGAGGATTAACAAAAAAGGCAAAACCTGTAGCCCTGGCTGGTATGGCTCAGTTGGATGAGTGTCTTCCCGTGCATAGGACAATTCTTGGCTAGGATACACGCCCGGGTTGTGGGATTGATCCCCAGTGGTGGGTATGCAGGAGGCAGCCAATTGATGTTTCTCTCTCTAAAATCAATAAAAACATATTAAATATATATATATTCTCCCAAAATTACAAAGAATAGCTGCATTCTCATATCTGCTTTAAAAACAAAAAGACAGCCCAGCCAGTGTGGCTCAGTGGCTGAGCATTGACCCATGCACCAAGATGTTGCCGGTTCAATTCCCAGTCAGGGCACATGCCCAGATTATGGGCCAAACCCCCAGTGGGGGGCATGCAGGAGGCAGCCAATCAATGTTCTCGCTCATAGATGTTTCTCTCTCTCTCCCTCTCCCTTCCTCTCTAAAAATAAATAAATAAAACTAAAAATAAAAAAACAAACAAAAAGACAGAACTTACAGGTTATTGTGGATTTATATATTCTAGAGGTCAGTTATTTCTCAGTTGACAAAAAATAAGTTCTCACTTTCTACATCACTTCCCAGTTCTTCTCTGTAGTGGAAGTTAGTTCTCCCATACCCCCTATTTCATACTGTAGCATTCAGAGGATTATACCACCCTCCATCCCTCCCATTTATTATTTCCCATAGCACTTTGTATATATCTTCGTTATAGTAACTATCACATTGTATTGTGACTGGTTTACACATCTGTCTCACTTACTAGACTATAAATTACTTGGAATTAAAGATGTTTCTCCTTTAGCTACTTCTAGTTTTTGTTGATCTCTCTTCTGCATAATGGAGCTCTGAGCTGCGTCATCTCCGGTTTTTTTCCTGCCGCAGGATCTGGCTGGTGTGCAAAGATGAGGGAGCTGAACAATCGATCTTGTGCAGTCATTGTTCCAGAAATCAGCTCTGGGCAGGTGGGCGGCAGGAGGGGGCTGGGAACTCCACATTCCTAGTATTTAGAAAACAAAAAGGTCGTTTTTTGGGGACTCTCCTTGCTTTTTGTTTGAGATAGGCATTTCTAGAACAGTCTTTAGTAATGCAGGATTAGAAAAAAATTCAAGGATTAGATAAAAAACTAACAAGAGGTCTGGAGGGAATCCAAGTGTAGCTGAAGTCTCACCTAAGCTGGCCTCTGGACCCCAGACCCAAATATGAAAGGCTGCAGAAGCTTCTCTCTTGAGTAAGCCTGACCAGCCTTGGTAAAAAGGGAAGGAAGTGGAGTGGATTCTGACATTCTCTGGAGGTTTCTGGCCTTGGCATGAGTCTGGAGGATTAGGTAGGGCCTTGCTGACAGAAGGCCCTGGAGTCATGATTCTAAATTTTTGCTATTTGAGTCCCTTTCAGTGCCCTACTTTCCTGAAGCCACAACCAGGAGATCTAAAATTTCCATGTTCTCCTTCCATCTCTTTGTTTACTGCATTTTATTTTATAGAATTGGCATAATCACTTCTGTCATCTAATCTCATTCTACACATAAGGAAATTGCCACTGAGAAGTTATTTGGGTGATTGCCCAAGGTCACATGGGTGTACCTCAGGGGAGTCACTGCCAGAAACCAAGGACTTCCTATTCTTAGCCTGGGCTTTTTTGAGGGTGAGGGGTGGGGAGCATGAGACAACCAGCTAAAATGGATTTTTCCCTCTTATATTTGTATCTTTAGGCCCAAATGAAGACTGGATTTTTATACTGAGGAGGATAAATACCAGTGGACAGGGCAGCTGCGATCAATCAGACACTCTGAAGTTAGACGGAACATGATGCAGGCCGGGGGAAAAAGGGCCTTGAAAAATGCAGTTTTATGTTAAAGGGATTCTTAGCTCAAAGAGTTGAGAAAAGGCACATAATCAAATGTATATTAATCTCCTCACCAAAGAACATGGTGATTTTACCATCTTATTTAAATAAGTCTTTCAGAAAAGAGGAGGTAAGAAAAATTAAAATTTCTCTCTGGCCTTGTCAAGCCATCACTTAGTGCAGTGCTGAGCTGCATTCAGATCCTCTATTTCGTCCCCCAAACCTAAGAATTATCCAAATAATATACAGTCATTTTCACAGTATAAGTAAAATGCTATAATCTGTAAAGGGAATGGGAATGACTAGTTTAGGGACATTGAGAATTATCTGAAGCACTTTAGGGCTCTTAACATTCGTCTCAGGGGCTCCAGAGTGGGAGAAAGATCATAGATAACAGAGGGGGTCCCAGTCCCCCCCAGGAGGCTGACAAAGGTACTGGGAGAAGGTGGTGCTGGGGCGTGGGAGGAAGGGAGGCACCATGAAGTCGAAATTCTGGTATTCAAGAATAGGTTGATACTAATGAGTGTGTCTGATTTTAGGCAAATCACCAACTCCTCAGGCTCCCAAATCCCCATTTGTAAAATGAGGCAACCTAACTCGGTTTTCCTCCTTCCAGTGCTAAAATTCTATTAAAAAATTTCCAGTCCCAGAGTAAACATCAAGACCGTGTCTGAAGGGAACCATCTTGCGTCTCAGTAATATTCCACTTTTAAAGGGAAGGGGGAGGGGAGAAGAGAAAAAGAAAGGGGAAGAAAGACTGGTTAACCGAGGGCGGCTTTGCCAGCGTGGGTTTGGAGTAGCTGCTTAAACCGGCCCTGCTGACTGGGGTGGGGAGCAGTAGGGGGGAGCAGGAGGCAGTCCCCTCATCTGCTACAGCCCCCAGCCGTTCACACCACTGTCATTTACAGGAACCAAAGGGGCTTTAAAAAGGGTATCGATTTTTTACAATTTCTGTCATTATTTAGTTGCCATCCTAATTCCTGCCCTGTCACTGAACTGCATCTTCCCGTTGGAATTTACTGCTTAAAAGTCGTGCCATTTTATAAGGAGGGAACGACAGGAGACGGGAGAGAGAAGGAAAAGCAGAGGGGGGCTGGAAGCTGAAGGTCAGCAGCCCCGGGAAGGAAAGAGCGAGCACGTGTAGGGAAAGGGAGGAGGGGCGGCCCGGAAGCGCCCTCCGGAACCCAGCTCCCCCTCCCCCAACGCCCAGTTCTCGGACCAGCACAGAACCTGGGGGTGGGGCGCGCGTGCGCAGTGACGCGCTGCGCCAACCGCCGACGCTCCCGAGACTGCTGGAACCTGCTGGAACCGGTTAGAACCGGTGGCGTCCGCCGGGAAGCCAACGTCTCACAAAGGGAGGCGGCGGCTCACAGCCCGCGGATCCCTGCGCCGGGCTGGCGTGGGTGGGTGCTGGGGTTGCGCCCCGCCCCCAGCCTTTGTCCCCTGCCCGGGCCTAGAAACGCGGCCTTCCTCTTTTCTCCCCGTGGCGCCGGCAGCCGGAGGGGCCAAACTAGGGGGCGCGGGGACATAGCCACCCCGCTCCGGTCCCAGTTTCGCCTTCTCTGTGCAGCTAGCTTGGCCGCGCAGGAACCTGTCTGGGAAGCCCCGGTGCCCTTGTCGCTCCCAGTCCCTCGGGCCTCGCTGGGGAGCTGGGGCTCTTTGCCGCCTGGGCACGAAGTTACACGTCCTGGGGCCTAACTCAGCTTTCCCTTCGGGGGAACCAGGGTGGGGGTTAAAGTTCACTCTAACGGGAAGAAAAGGCTTTGTGTCTGGAGAAACACTTTTGTTTTCCTTTCAGCTCCAAGTCAGAAAGCTTGAGAATGATGGGGAATCTGGGAAACAAGGGAGTCATAAGCAGTGACTGTCAACATGTCTGGCCCGGCTGGCCTGGCTGCCCAAGGTCACTGTGTCTTTGGAGGCAGAGCCCTCGGCAGTTGTGGATACATCATAGAGGACACAAACTCGGCTTTGACGGCGGGGTTGGCTTTTGATAATTTTAGTGAGAGACAAGTCTGGGAACTTGGAAACTGTCCCCTTTCGGGAAGAACACGCCTAACCCAGGCTCGATTTAAAATGTCTCAGCAGGCAACCAAAAGCATAGGGTTCAAACAAAGGGACGTCGGCATGTAAAGGAACCAGGACGAGCCCCCAGATGCCTGTTTTTAGAGGGCCTGCGTTGGTGCCCGCTCTGCCGCAGGGGACAACAGTATATTGTGGTGGATTTCTACTTTCAGTAGCATTCTTAAGCAGATAACCCAGACACTGGGACTTCTCAAGTAAAAAGGCGATCAGAATGTGGCACAGCCCCAGAGCCAACTTGTAGGACTTCGGCAGTTTGGGGGGGACCCCCACACTTGACCACAGCGAAAAGGAACATGGCTGCCACAGTTACATAATGGAAATTAAGACAGTGGGCAAACCCTTGGTAACCTTCCTCCCAAAAGCACTAAATAGTACCTACGATGCTGAGAAAACCATGAAAGGTATTTTGAGAGCTACTAAAAAGTTCCCCAGCAAAGGCACGGAGTTTTTGTGAGCTGTTTGCTGGTGTACTTAAATGTGCTTTTCATTGGTTTTGCTTAAATTTTCAGCTCAGCTCTACTCGCTAATGAGTCTTAGATATTTCGAGATATACGGTTTGCAGTCATTTTGCATAAGCAGGAAAAATCTAGAAAGGCTTGGAAGTCAGATTCTATTTTTAACCTTGCCGAGGAACTATTTTTGCTTCCCTCACAAAAGCGGCGGAGGGTTACTGAGTGCCAGCAGCGTGAGGTGTCCTTTGCCCATAAATACGCCTCTCCCCGCCGGGCGGCGGCATTCAGGCAGCGAGCGCAGAGGAGGCTGCTGAGGCCAGAGGCACTGCTTGAGAAAACCAGATAAGTTTTTCTATTAAAAAGGGATAGAGAAATGATAGAAACCTTTAAGGGAAAGAAAAAATAATATAAATCTTGAGGAAATAGCGAAGATATTTACTGAGGTATTGCTTAACATTAAAACTTTTAAGTAGTCTGTATAACTTAAAAGATCTTATTTAAGGGAAGAGATGAAGACTTATTTAAAAAATAGTTTCAGAAAGGAAGAGAGAAGAAAGATACTTGCAAAACGTGATGGAGGTTGAGAGATGAAACTTATTTATGAAGTAAAAATTTTCTAAGATGGCGACTGCGAAGTCCGAGTTCAAAAAAGCCTTAAACTAAAGGGCAAGTTTTAAAAATACCATTAAAACGTAGGTGACGTAAAAAGAGCATAGTCGTCGTTTTTAAAAAGTAAAGTTGGAGATTAAAATATTTTAAATGCCGTCTTTTAAACTAAATTGAAGGTGGTTTAAGAGCTAGACCTTCAAATTCATGGCGCAGGAAAAATGGCGTCATTTGAAGCCTAATTGCTCTTAAGGCATTATTAACTGAAGACTGGAAAATGTTAATTTAGAAGTGGTAGGATAAAATTTTGGAGAAAGATTAGAAATTTGAAGTGGCAAACTTAGAAGACGGAAGTGTACAGGAAGGTGAAGAAAAAGACGTGAAGATAGGAAAATAGAAGATAAAACATGCATTTTAGAAGACAGAAAAACTAAATGCAAAAAGTAGAAAATAGAAGTTATTGAGACAAACCAGAAAACCAAAGCAATTAAGGGCACAGATACAAGTTTAGTAGAAAACTAGAAGATAGAAAATGAGAAGATACAGATTTAGTGAAAAAGTAGAAGATAGAAAATGAAGATACAAGTTTAGTAGAAAATTAGAAGATAGAAAATGAGAAGATACAGATTTAGTGAAAAAGAAGATAGAAAACGAAGATACAAGTTTAGTAGAAAACTAGAAGATAGAAAATGAGAAGATACAGATTTAGTGAAAAAGTAGAAGATAGAAAATGAAGATACAAATTTAGTAGAAAACTAGAAGACAGAAATTGAGAAGATACAGATTTAGTGAAAAAGTAGAAGATAGAAAACGAGAAGATACAGATTTAGTAGAAAAGTAGAAGATAGAAAACGAGAAGATACAGATTTAGTGAAAAAGTAGAAGATAGAAAACGAAGATACAAGTAGAAAATAGAAGTTATTGAGACAGATAACTTCTGTAGAAGATAGAAAATGAGAAGATGCAGATTTAGTAGAAAAATAGAAAATAAGAAGATACAGATTAAGTAGAAGATAGAAGGTCTAGGAAAAAGGAAAAGCAAGCCAGAACAGCTACTGGACACAAGCATACAAATAGGTGTCCAAAAAAATTAGACGATAGACTAAGTTTGAGCCAAAAAATTGGAGAAAGTACAGGAACAAAAACAAGGAAATTAAATGTTTAATTATAGTTTAATAAAAATTTATTATATACACCCGTGAGTTTAATTTCTGGTGGTGTAGAAGTTAGATTTGAGAAGAGAATATTTAAGTTGCTGTAGACCAGGACTAACTTAGAAGAATATCTGGAAGAAACTAGAAGGGAAATTGGTTAAAAGTCGCAGCAAAAAGCTACCAAAAGGACTGAAGTAATTTTAAAACTAAGCTAGAATGTTTTTAGAGTCAAAATTTTGAATGGTCTAAATACACTAGCTTAGTCTTCTTTGGAAAATGTAAAGGACTTTTAACAACTGAAGTATTCGAGATCAAGAATAATCACCAACTTAACGTTTTTACTTTGGACTGAGCTCAGATGATTTAAATCCTGAGGACTAGCGTAAATTGTCAGCTGACCCAGGTGCTACACAGAAGTGGATTCAGTGAAGCTAGGAAGACAGGAGCAACAGACAGGATTCCAGGAGCCAGTGTGGTGAAGCTAGGACTGAGCCCCCAAGCAGCAGTTCGTGGTGAAGATAGGAAGGAGGAGTCCGGGAGCCAGTGCCATGTGGTGAAGGAAGGAGCCCTAACGATTTGGAGGTCAAGCTAGGAGAGGATTCCGGGAAGGAGGAGCCAGTGCGAAGTGCTGACGCCAGCGTGCGACTTGGCGACCACGCGGAGGCGGCGAGCAGGCGGAGTGGAGGATAGATAGAGGAACCTAGAGCAGCGAGCGTCCCAGTGCAAGGCGGCGTGCAGGCAGCCAGTGGTGTGGTAAAAGTCCAGGAGGTCGGCCGTGTCCTGGTTTTTGGTAACTTGAGTATGGTAACATTTACTTAACTAATGGTAATGGGGGAGTTGTGTATAAACGGCAAGGGCTTTATTATGGAATGTAGGCCGATTTCCGGGTGTTGTAGGTTTCTCTTTTTCAGGCTTATTTTCTCATGCATCTTGTCTGAAGCTTTTGAGGGCAGACTTCCAAGGCCCGGAGGAATGGTAGATGGCAAGTTTTATGGTTTTTTTTGTCTTTTAACCAATTTGAGGGAAACAAATGAATTTGAGAAAAATTAAGGCAAGTTTTGTAAGCAGCTTATATTTTTAGCTTGGGGTAATGAAGCATTTTAGATTTGTGAATAGATGTGAATGTCAAGTTTGGGCATGTTGACTCTGGGGGGGAAGTTTTTGTGGGAGTGGGGGGCAAAATATGTTTTGAGTTCTTTTCCCCTTAGGTCTGTCTAGAATCTCAAAAGGCAAATGACTCAAGGTAACAAAAACAAAAGAAAATCCAGTATCAGGATAATCAGAACACCACAGGTTTACAGTTTCTAGAAATTAGAGGACGAACAGTTCTCACTTTGAGTACTGTGGCGGAGCTGTG